AAAATGTACCAAATTAATTATTAGGGTGCCTCTGTACTTCTTACGAGCGAGTTGTAGCAAAAAAGTACAATTATACCAATTTTACCAAACCTGATTGGCAATCCTATACGAATACGAAGCACAAGGCAAAACTAACAAAACAGCTGTCTGGTACAAAAACAACGTAGAAAGAAAACAATGACTCAATCGAAAAACAATCAACAAATTGTTTAATTAAATATTAGTTTACAGCTCAAAAATTTATTTATTTGTTTAAAAAAAGAAGCAAAATGGGAAATTTATGTACATCTTGTTGTGGCAGTTCCTCAGAAGAAACTAATTTAATGCCCTCACCGGTAAATAGATAAACCCATTCCTAATATACAAATTTAATACTAAGTTAACGTTCTTTTATTGCAGGAAACCCGCAGGAAACAATTGTTGGAAGCGGCTGAAAAAAGACGTCAAGAAAATGAACAAAGGGGCATTAAAGATCCCGAGAAGGTGAAAAGACAACAACGTCTCCAAGAAGAAAGAGAAAAACGTGAGGAAGAAGCCGCACGTATGGGAGGACAGCCCACCTTAAAGGTATTTCAGTTTAAAAACATAATTCTTCAGCTATTAATTTATAAATTTTTCTATTCTAGTGGCAGCAAGATTAAACCACCACCACCACCAATATGTATTCTTAACTTTTTTTCTATAATATTCAAGTCTGAGGAAAAACGCATCTAAATATACATTGTTTGTCAAATTGACCACGAAAATATACTTAACAACATTTCCTTATGGTTAAATGGGGTCAATACTATTAAAATATATTAACAAAAATATGTACTAAAGACATTTATCTACACTTGTATACTAAAATTAAGTCTATATAATACGTATATACTGCACTTTACTTTATTAATTTTGTTAACATACATTTTTTTGTTTTCTTTGTTGTTTAATTTTGGAAGCCATAAAAATGTTACTTTCATAGGTTAATGTTATTTTGAAAAAAGCTTAATACCAAATTTTTTAATTATTTTCTGCTATATATTTATATTGTATTTAATACCAAAATTTATTGCCAAAAAATATAAATTGTTTTATTTAATTAGACCTTCTTAGCCTAGTCTACTGCTTTAAAGGAAGCATTTTTTGACTAACTATTAAGAACTGTGATCTTTTCGATGAATTATTCATTAAAGAGAGATAAGTAGTGATCTTATTATCTGGAGTGATCTTAATATGAGTTTTCCGCCTTTTGTTTGGACGTTTTAATTTTTTCATAGAGGCCAATGTTTTCCAAGACTTGTTTCCAGATAAGATCAGTACAATATTTTTATATATTTTGTTACGGTTATTTCCAAAATTTATTCTTCATTAAACAATTCTCAAACTTGTCGAAAATCCTTAAAATATGATTTATTACACAAACATAACCTATAAATTGTGTTTTTAATATATATTTTAACAAATAACAAAATTATACATATACAGTACTAATTTTTCTATTAAATAATCATCTCATCTCTTTGTAACCACAAATCTCTTTATCCTGTTCATCCGTTACTAAATGAGCTTCCGACAATAAACCAGCATCATACATTTTCGAAGATAATTTCAATTTCTGTTGTTTTTGTCTAAAACCTAGTTTAGCGTTATCTTTAATAAATTTCACTGCAATAGCATCATCCACTACAGACATTTGTAAACTTTTACCCCAGGCCAAAAGAGCCAAGGGACGTTGAGGTGTTAACTGCTGAGAGGGTGTAATGATATGACGATATAAACAACCTTTTAAAGTATTTTGTAGCTGATCAATTTGACCGGCAAAGGCACAAGGGTGATAGAGTAAAACAATAGCACCATCGGCTAAGCTATGAAGCCAACGTTGAGGTGGTAGGTAGCTATAGGAACCATATTTAGGAGCTAGAGGACGATAGGCACCGCTGAGAGGGGAAATTATAAGAAGTTTTTAAAATTGTTTGTTAAATTGGAAAAAAATCTTGAAATATTTGTTACTTACAAAGTTGGTATGGACTCGCTGTATTCTATAGTTTCGTTCAAACATTTTACTGGAGGTTCGTAGGCTGCTGGTATTGTATACTCCTTTAAAACAGCTGTGGTATTTAAATTTGGAGTATATTTTGATCTCTGGTCAAGGCAGAGATAATTATAGGAATGTCGTTTATCTAAAGGATCGTAATCCACAGACAAGTCAAACTGCAAAAGAATTTAAGCACAATAAACGATATTAATACAAGATTTATAAACAACCTTTTTCCAAAAGGTGACTAATTGCATTTATTAATAACCAATTACCTTGCCATTATCACATTCATGTTTCTGTTGAACATTTTCTATAGGTTTCTCGACATGCTCCCTAACTTTCTCTTTATTTTGATAACCGGGCGGATGCGGAAACCATAGCCAGTCTTTTGAAGGTTTACTTTTCAGGGAAAACTCTTCATTGCTCACTGCTGCATCAGTTGCTGCTCCTGCTGCCACATTGACTGTTTCGGTTTTTACGTCATTATTCTGATAATTTGGGGGATGGGGGAACCACAAATTTTGCCAAGGTGTCTCATCTTCACTTAGGCTATTGTCATTTAAACGACCTTTTTTAAATGTTCTGCTTTCATATTGAGCAAACAAGATTATTAATAAATTTAGATAAATTAATAATTTAAACATAATTAAACAAAAACGTAACGAAATCAAAAAATTATGTGTAATTAATAGTATGTAATAAACAAGAACAACACAAAACTAAACAAAGAAGATGATCAGAAAACAGAATTAGAATAATTTAAGTCGCCATTACTAGTGATGTGAGTGTGTGTTTATGACAGATTAGTGCAGGTGTTAAAATTAAATCGATAAATGATGAGCACCAACGGGGGATTTGTATAAGGTGGTACATAATTCCAACAGCTGATTGTATTGTTAACAGCACTACCTAAATGTCAAATTCTATATAAACATGAATCATAACAAATTACATATATTCTATAATTACATATATTCTATAAATTGAACTTCGAACAATCAATTTTTTGTAGAAAAAAGTCGATGTCGGAAAATCGACTTTTCAACCTTTTACTTTTTCGACTTTGATTTACGACTTTGTTCCTTCAAAATAGTCACATATTTTTTCCTAATAAAGTCGAAGAGTCGACTATATTGTAAGAGAAACGACGAGTAATCGTTTTTGTAGATAAAAGTCAATATTGAAAAACTATTTGAAAAATAAGTTTTACATTTTATGAAAACTTTTCAACGTGTATAAAAATACTCGGGGTTTTCGATTTTAAGATTTATCGACTTTAAAAAGTCGCAAAAAGATTGTTGACTTCGTCTTTTTTCGGCAAAGTCAATTGTTGTAAAGACGGCTAATTACATATCTGCTTTAAAAACTATAAATTTAACGTATGAAAAAGTACGTTAATTTCAATTAAACATCAAAATCAGTTATTATTTAAAAAATACAATGCAACCCTTTAAAAAGTAGTTTATTTTTGTCCCATTTCAAAAATCCCTTTTTTTGTGACAAACTTATACATTTTACTCCGGCAACTCTGCACACATTTTTTAACTTTTTCCGACATCGCCAGCAGAAAAGTTTGTCCCAAACAAATAAAAGTATTTTTGAGTATAAATATTTTATTTACTTTTCATTTGTTAAACACCACGTTAAAGATAAATATATCAGTTATTTATTTTCATTATTTCGGTGTAAACGTAAGCGTTCTTTCTTTTACCACAAATAGTTTTTTTTTTTTTATTTTTTCATACAACTGCATGAGAGTTCGTGAGTGTGTGTGTGTGGTTTTTTTTTCGGTGACAAATAACCAAAAACAAAAAAATTACAAGAAAAATATAAATTTGTTCTGGAAATAAATTTAATTTCGCAGTCATAAACAAAGTAGTTATCGGTTGCTCGTATCTTGTATTTGAAATATCACACACTGCATTGAACCTCTCTTCACCTCAACACTCCACCCCCGGGAACAATCATATTAACCAGCCGCCAGTCAGCCAGCAGCTACAAAAGATATTTGACTCTATTCTACAACCAACCAGCTTGATGTCGTATTGTTATTGTTGTAATTTTTTCAAGCTCCATTCATTTTTGTTTTGTTTTAATTGACACAATTGAAGTGGGTCCCGTCCCGTACGAACAAACGAACGAAGGGAAAAGCGAATATTAAAACACAAACAATACAATACTACTACTAGCGTTTTTGTTGTAGAAAGGAAAAAAGCAAAAACAAATTCTGAAAAAAGAGACTCAAGTACAACGAATAAAACGAAGAAAAAATTAATTTTTATAAAACATTTAATAGACAACAACACGTCACGTGAGCATTACGTGAGCAAAGAAAGGAGAAAAATAACATATTTGCGGATAAAAACAAAAAGCCAAGAACTCTTTTTTTTATAATTTTTATAAATTTAAATAAAGTCTAGCACAAACAGCTGTTGACTTTTTGGCTGGTGACACAAGCAGCAATTAGCCATTAGTTCGTCAATTATACCGCATTAAAAACATAGAAATCAACATGAACAATTTGTCGGATGCCCCCGTACCAGATCCTGGCTCTGGTGCTGATAAAAAAGAAGCCAAACAATCAAGTGCTTTAAAGAAAACCAGCCGCTATCGTAGTCGTTCATTGTCTGCTTCATCCACCGATTCATTTTCATCTGCCTCCTACACAGGCAGCAGTTCGGATGATGGTGATGATGTACCACCACGAGAAAAAGTCCAAAAGAACTCTAAAGGTTGTTCTGATTTTTGTGTACGCAACATTAATCAAAATGCCTTTGGCCGGCGTGAAATTGAAATTGCCGAACAGGAGATGCCCGGCATTATGGCATTGAGAAAACGTGCTGCCGACGATAAGCCGCTAAAGGATGCGAAAATTGTTGGTTGCACTCATATTAATGCCCAGACGGCGGTCCTAATTGAGACATTGATTGATTTGGGTGCCTCTGTGCGTTGGGCTGCATGCAATATTTATTCAACACAGGTATGTATAGAGATGCGATTATTTTTCATGTGATTAAAATTTTGGATTTGTTATTTTTGAAATTTAAGTGAAAATACGAATTTTAAGTGAAATTTCCAATTATTAAAAATTTTGAGTTTTTAATGAAATTTTCGATTTTTACTGAAGATTTTATCTTTAATATAAAATTTAGATTTTTGGAGAAAGCTTTAAGTGTTTACTTCACACGAAAACGTCTAATATCTAGTAAATTTTTAAAAAATCTAATTTATAGTGAATCTTAGAAAAAATTGAGTTTTAGTGAAACTTTGAAAAAAAATGAATTATTAGTGAAACTTAGAAAAATCGAATTTTTAGTGAATGTCGAACTACATCTTCGAAAGATCGAATATTTAGTACCTAATAAAGTTTTTAAGAATTACATTTTTATTGAAAATTTTGAAAAATTAAATTTTTATTAAAAATTTCGAAAAATTAAATTTTTATTAAAAATTTGAAAAATTAAATTGTTATTAAAAATTTTGAAAAATTAAATTGTTATTAAAAATTTTGAAAAATTAAATTGTTATTAAAAATTTTGAAAAATTAAATTTTTATAGATAGATAGATAGATAGATAGATAGACATAGATAGATAGATAGATAGATAGATAGATAGATAGATAGATAGATAGATAGATAGATAGATAGATAGATAGATAGATAGATAGATAGATAGATAGATAGATAGATAGATAGATAGATAGATAGATAGATAGATAGATAGATAGATAGATAGATAGATAGATAGATAGATAGATAGATAGATAGATAGATAGATAGATAGATAGATAGATAGATAGATAGATAGATAGATAGATAGATAGATAGATAGATAGATAGATAGATAGATAGATAGATAGATAGATAGATAGATAGATAGATAGATAGATAGATAGATAGATAGATAGATAGATAGATAGATAGATAGATAGATAGATAGATAGATAGATAGATAGATAGATAGATAGATATATAGATATATAGATATATAGATATATATATAGATATATAGATAGATAGATAGATAGATAGATAGATAGATAGATAGATAGATAGATAGATAGATAGATAGATAGATAGATAGATAGATAGATAGATAGATAGATAGATAGATAGATAGATAGATAGATAGATATATAGATAGATAGATAGATAGATAGATAGATAGATAGATAGATAGATAGATAGATAGATAGATAGATAGATAGATAGATAGATAGATAGATAGATAGATAGATAGATAGATAGATAGATAGATAGATAGATAGATAGATAGATAGATAGATAGATAGATAGATAGATAGATAGATAGATAGATAGATAGATAGATAGATAGATAGATAGATAGATAGATAGATAGATAGATAGATAGATAGATAGATAGATAGATATAGATAGATAGATATATAGATAGATAGATATATAGATAGATAGATAGATAGATAGATAGATAGATAGATAGATAGATAGATAGATAGATAGATAGATAGATAGATAGATAGATAGATAGATAGATAGATAGATAGATAGATAGATAGATAGATAGATAGATAGATAGATAGATAGATAGATAAATAGATAGATAAATAGATAGATAGATTGATTGATAAATAGATAGATAGATAGATAGATAGATAGATAGATAGATAGATAGATAGATAGATAGATAGATAGATAGATAGATAGATAGATAGATAGATAGATAGATAGATAGATAGATAGATAGATAGATAGATAGATAGATAGATAGATAGATAGATAGATAGATAGTTAGATAGATAAATAGATAGATAGATAGATATATAGATAGATAGATAGATAGATAGATAGATAGATAGATAGATAGATAGATAGATAGATAGATACTGTCCTTCTATTAACTCATAAATACAAATTGTCTTTCCACTCTTAGTACGATGTAGTCTTCACCGTACAGGAGACACGTTATATCGGCATTTAAAGTGGCCAGCAAGTGCATACAGCTAACAACTCCTCTCATTTTCGAGTAATACGCTACTGTACGTTAGTTGTCTAGTTCACGCATGCTATCACTGCATGTGATGATGAAGGTCTCCTGGGTAGTCAAGATACTACTTTGCTGAAAACGGCAATAAGAAGTTGTAGAAGTTGGCTCTGTTTTCTGACGAGGAGCACGATGTTACAGTTATAGCTCCTCACAGTCAGAGCGCACAAATAGCCTAATGAGGCTAAACATAAAAAAGCACAATTATAAACACTGCTATTGATTTCCAATGTACCTTTTTTTAAATATCCGCATTATGACAATTTCTATATTGAATGACAATTACTGTAATAATGCACACAAAATGTTTTTTTTTTGTCCTATTGATGCTGTCTGTTGTTCTTTTTTTTTTTCTTTTCAATGACCTTTTATTGTCTGATCTTTGTCCTTTATGAGTTTATTTAAGAAACATTGAACTTTTTTTATTAGGACTAAACGCAAATAATTCTTTGTTGGGTTTAGAGAAACTAGCGATTAAATTATTTATTTTTTATTTTAAAATTTCAATACTAAATAAATAGTTTAAAGTCTTGAACTAATCGCTTATATTAAGCAGAAATTGTAACATTAAATGTGTAACATTTTTCGAGTCAACAGGGCCTCAAAGTTTTAAAGTCTAACTTTGTTGGTAGTATAAAGCTCAAACATTTGTTTTTTTATTTAAGAAATAGTTTTTAAAAGAAAATCTTTAAGGTAAATAGTTTTGTTGTAAACTATTTGCTATTCCAGAGTATTAAATTACATTTTTTGTATCCATTTTTTGCTTAACTCACTCTTTTGCACTCAAAAAAACTCTTAGAACACTTATCTTAATAAACATTTATAACTACTGTAGACTATATTTAAGTTAGTACCACTTGAGTATAAAAAAAATCACATGGCGCCATAAATCTAATTAATAACACCCCCTTTAAAACAATAAAAAATCACCGAATATTTTTGCCACACTTGTGTTAAATTAAAACTTAATTTAAAAACCCAATTTCTTTGATTTTAAAATCTTATCTTACACAATAAAACTAACTAACTATTTTAAATCACGACACTTAACTTATCTTTCAAAAACATTGTGATTTATTTTTGTATTTAATAATAATTTATGCTTAAACATCTTTAAATAGTAATTTATATTTTTAGATATTTTTAACAAGAAATCAAAATTTTTGATAAAATTCTACAATAATTAATAATAATTTATTTTATAGATTACAATATTTGTTTTGTTTGTAAATTTTAAACGCCTTAACTTATTGTCCTCAAAGTATTTTTTTGTTTAAACAAAAAATGACACATTTCATAAATTATTGTACAATCTCAAAGACAATCTTTACAAATTCGAATAGCATGTGTGTGGTGTGGTAAATAAGAGTTAGAAAAAAAAATAAAAAAAGCAAAAAAACTTGCATGTGAATTTTTTCTTTCATTTTCATTTAAGAAATATTTTTTTTATTTATTTTCTTCGCTTTTATCAATTGACACCATTTAATAAATTGTTTAACAAAAGTGAAAAAAGAAAGAAATATACCACCACCATCATTATATAGTTTGATTTGTTAATATAGCAAATATATAACCCCCCCTCCCAAAATATCTAATCATTACATACATATTTGATAAATTGTTTGCTTGTTTACATACAAATGAATGTCTATTTCCTAATTCCTTGAGATACATTTATGATGATATATAATTTTTTAATTCTTTGGCGTTTAATTTAAATGCTTTTGTATACAATTCTTAATAGAATTGTAAATTTATTCTTTCTTTAACAGTCTTATTTTATTTAAATATTAATTAGAGCCCTTATAATAATGTTTCAATTATTTGTACAATCATGTTGAGTTTATATGTTTTTTGGACATTGGTTCAATTAGCACTTTTGTTATATGTATTTATGTTATTTTTTCTATAGATTTTATTATAAATAGTAAGTATGTTTGTAAACCTGCTATTTGCTTCCATTGTCCCCTTTGTTGTTATAATCTTAATTGCATTTTTTTGGAAGTTATCATGTGGTATGACAAATAAAGATTTCTTTTGTTATACTTTGTTTGATTTTTAAGGAGTGTGAAGAAAAAGTGTTAATTGGACTGCTTCATTTAGAATTATTTGACTTTATTAAAGATATTTTAAAATTAATTATTGAAATTCTACAGAAAACACATCTCAATAGGTTAAACATTATTGAATTCTTTAATTCCCTTGGCATAGTTTAGAGACAAAATTGGTTAAGTTTAGTATGTATAAACTTTTGTTTTTGTAAAAGATTAGTCTGAGATTGGGCTTTCATAAATACTTTTAATGGTAATGCAGACTCTAGTCTATAGTTAAGTCTATAATCTTGTGTATAATATTTTAGTATTCAGTTCTAGTTCAGTTCTAGTTCAGTTCTAGTTCAGTTCTAGTTCAGTTCTAGTTCGGTTCTAGTTCAGTTCTAGTTCAGTTCTAGTTCAGTTCTAGTTCAGTTCTAGTTCAGTTCTAGTTCAGTTCTAGTTCAGTTCTAGTTCAGTTCTAGTTCAGTTCTAGTTCAGTTCTAGTTCAGTTCTAGTTCAGTTCTAGTTCAGTTCTAGTTCAGTTCTAGTTCAGTTCTAGTTCAGTTCTAGTTCAGTTCTAGTTCAGTTCTAGTTCAGTTCTAGTTCAGTTCTAGTTCAGTTCTAGTTCAGTTCTAGTTCAGTTCTAGTTCAGTTCTAGTTCAGTTCTAGTTCAGTTCTAGTTCAGTTCTAGTTCAGTTCTAGTTCAGTTCTAGTTCAGTTCTAGTTCAGCTCTAGTTCGGTTCTAGTTCAGTTCTAGTTCAGTTCTAGTTCAGTTCTAGTTCAGTTCTAGTTCAGTTTTAGTTCCGTTCTAGTTCAGTTCTAGTTCAGTTCTAGTTCAGTTCTAGTTCAGTTCTAGTTCAGTTCTAGTTCAGTTCTAGTTCAGTTCTAGTTCAGCTCTAGTTCAGTTCTAGTTCAGTTCTAATT